CGGTTGGATATCTCCAAATGAAATTATGAATCTGGCCGATTCAAACCATACCAGGTTCAAACAAAAGGAGGCTTCCAAAGTTCACCAGCAAAGCCATAGTAATAACAAGCAACAAATATCCCGGAAACTGGTGGCGACCGAAGTAACATCGAAATTCGACATGCGAGCATTCGACCGAAGAGTCACCCTAACCTGGATACGCTTTGGCAATACAGAACAAGCATACTTTGGATATCACTTCGGCTATCTAGCTTGATCATATCATTGTGATCATATGACATTTATAACGACATTTATAACAAAGTTTTATTAACAAATAAAAAACATACAAGACGTGTTAATAAACAAAAAACGACACATGCGGGGCTTCGCCCCGCACCCCCATTATAAAGCACCTACGTCCTGCGCACCGCATGCATCGTCATATACATACAAAGCAAAATAAAAAAAATCATTATTCACAAACATCCTCAACCCCCGGATGAACATAATGAAAATCCGACCTATCCCAAAGAGGATACTTAATAGGAACATATTTCACAGGAATCCTCCTCCCACCTATTTTCCTACAATAATCCTTAGACCAATACTTCTCACCACCAACCCCACTATCATACAGTCACAAAATTGGTAATTGACGATACCAATAGCCGAAGTGATATCCAAAGTATGCTTGTTCTGTATTGCCAAAGCGTATCCAGGTTAGGGTGACTCTTCGGTCGAATGCTCGCATGTCGAATTTCGATGTTCGGGTCGCCACGAGTTTTCGAGATATTTGTTGCTTGTTATTACTATGGCTTTGCTGGTGAACTTTTGGAAGCCTCCTTTTGTTTGAACCTGGTATGGTTTTGAATCGGCCAGATTCATAATTTCGTTTGGAGATATCCAACCGTAGAAGTCGATTATGACTAATTCTTGTTGTTGGTAGCCGTCCCACCATTTTTCCATATTGCTTGTTTTTATAAAGTAATCGTTGTTTAATTTTGTTGCAAAGGTGGTTTTTCCCATACCAGGATCGCCTATTATTAAGTATAGTTCTGTTTTTTCTTTTCTGTCCATTATGTATGTTTGTCCGTATTCAATTATTCTTCTTTTGTATTTCATGAGGTAGTCTGGATTTTCTTCTCCTATTGTTGTA